GGAGGGAGGGAGCAGAGGTTCGAATCTCCGCTCTGATACCAATGTGACGCGCGTGCGGAGGGCACGTGCGGAGATGGTGAGAGAGACAGGAGAGAGAGAGAGGAGATGGACACACACATGAAGCAGCAGCTGAGTGAAGGTCCAGTCCGGCTCGAACGAACAACTGAATGAATGAACCTCCTGCCCTGGACCAAGGCCGAAATGATATACCGGCCTAGGCCCAGGTGCGGACATCCTGGTACCGGACCAGGGTCAGGCCAACGGCCTGAAACTGGTCCGGCCTCACTGCCGGGCCGAAGGGGTACCGCTCCACTAATGCTATGCCCAAGGCTAGCATTAGTACTAATTAGTACTAGCGGAAGCCCATATAAATGGTTCTGCCTGCTGCGCAGTCGCAGTGAAATGCCCAAGCCTACGCCGTGGCCTATCCATGCCGAAGCTGCGGCTGACGAACCCGGACACCCATCACGCAAGGGGCCAGGTTCCGGCCGCGATCGCCACACACACTGCTCACTATGCAGAAGCCATGCCGTAATACGGCCAATCAAAACATATTTCCGCCCTGTGCATTACGCGACTCCAAGTTCCTCCAACTTAAATTTAAAATAACCACCCCAAAAGAATGCCGGGACGCGGATGGTCAAACCCGACCCCGGCCACGGCAAGCCACCTCCGTGCGTGTGTGCGTGTCACAGGCAGACTCCTCAATCAAGAATAAAAAGATCGTTTGAAAACTCTTCGGCAGAAATGCCGCCTCTTTTTTTTTTGTTTTGTTTTTTTGGGTGAAAATTTGAGATAACAACATCAGCATGAGATCATCAGAAAAAATCACTGTGCTGGAAACCGGGTCCAGCATCCCATGCCTCTGACTAACTGAGATAAAAAACTGGGGGTCTGCCCCTTCATCCATCTCGCCGAATGCCAGAACTTTCACAAAAAGCTAGGGAGCAGCCCCTCCGCTACCCCATGGACTGGCTCGGAAAAACGGAAGAAGCCACTGGGGGCCACCAGTGGGTCCTCCTTCCGTCTCCCCGCCCGACCCGGGATCAGCTGTCTCCTAGAAATGACGGTTCACATTATACCAGAAAGAGAAAAAATCATGTGCGCCTCAAAATTGTGCGCCCACAAACTTTCTACCCCTTTCAAACTATCTCACACTCTTAGTTACAGAAAGAAACCCGGCCGCGGCTTACGCAGCGCTCCTATTCTTTTCAACGTAGGATAATTTTCTGTCACTTGCAAAATTCAGGGCGGATACCCTTGTAAAGCTACTCTCGCCAACTACGTCCCACCGAGAGAGGAAGATTCATTCTCGGTGGGATGTTCACACACACACACACACACACACACACAGACAGACACAGAAAGAAAGAGAGAGAGAGAGAGAGAGAGAGAGAGAGAGAGAGAGAGAGAGAGTCAGACTCCGTCTGACATGGAGTTGGTGCGCCAAATTCGGTCCCAGACACTGCCTCCTGCCAGCTCCTGGCCCCCGCTCTCTCTCTCTCGTTCCTCCCCCGGCCCCCTCTGCCACGCCCAACTTTCTTCGGGCTCGTTACCTCTCCTTTTCTTTGAACTTTTTTTTTTTCTTTCCTTGTTTGTTAGGAATACGGGTCGTTCGTAGTTACTCCCCGACGGTTAACGGCCCGTCGGAGTTTTTTAGCTGGGTGAGGTACTGGTGGTTTAAAAACTGACCGCTAGATCATTTGGACTACGTGCATCTCCGTGGTCGCCTACAGTCGCACAGGGTCGACAACTAAACGTCGGCCTCGCTCTTTCTTGAAATGGAAGGGACACATTTTCACCAAAAATAGAAAAAAGAAAAAAGAAAAGGTCCAAACTGCAAAAAAAGAAAAAAAGCAGAGGAATTGCCCCCCGCCGCAAAAAATTGAGCAGCAGGCTGTACACGTAGCAGTTGACTCTTGGCGGTGAGGGACAGACCGGCCGAGCAGCCAGCCGACCCACCGACTCTGGACCCGTCGGCCGGCAGAGCAACAAGACGACGGCGGAGGAGGAAAAAAAATGCTCGGTTCTTGATCTTGGTGACCTGGCACCGCCCTCCTCCGATACCGACCCCAAGCGAGGTCCCACTACCAAGCAAGGAGGATGGGACAGAATGCCTCAATCTGTTCGTGCTTGTGAAAAGGTGCAGAAGATCGAGTTTGAACTGCTTCTCTGCATCTCCGCTTGAAACGTATCCAGATTCAGTAGCTTCATACAAACCTCTTTGTAGGTGGGACCTCGCCTCCGCGAGCCGACCATGCCGCCATGATTCACGGCCGCGAAGCCCGTTGGTCAACTGACTAGAGTCGCTGAAGGAGCGCCCTTTTTTTTTTTTGTTTCTTTTTTTTTTTTTTTTTTTTTTTTTTTCCGTTTTTTTTTTTTTTTTTTTTTTTCGTTTTTTTTTTTTTTTTCTATTCTTTTTTTTTTTTTTTTTTTTTTTTTTTTTTTTTTTTCCTGCCTGCTGCTTTTTTTTCTTTTCTCTTCTTCTTCTTCTTTTTTTTTCGGTGTTTAGCTGTATTTGACTTCTCTTTGGTGCCGCCTTTTTCATGCCGCGAATTTTGGGCTTCTCTTTGGTGCCGCACGCTGCTCTTGTATAAACGCGCGCTTTTTTTCTTTTTTTTCTTAAAGACGCGCGTTTTTTTTTTCCATATCTGATCGTAGAGAAATTGGTCGTCGCTCGACTGCTCTCGACATGCACAAAAGACAAAAAACATGGCGGTGTATCTTTCCATGTTCTAGCGGAAGATTCGCTCTCGTTTTGCACATTTCGAGAGTAGCGGAGCGAGGGGTAATGGGTGGCCGAAACGAACTGCGCGAGCAAGCTGGACCCCGCCCCCGCGTTCTCAGTTCCCAACGCATCGGATTTCTTCTTCTTTTTTTTTTTTTTTTCTTTTGCACAGGCTTTTTTTCCCTCCTATGCCGCCCTTTCTTTTCGGATGAATCGGATTTTTTGGTCCATGAGCCGCCTTTTTTTTTCGTTCTTGTAAGCACGAGTTGCCCAACCAATTCAATCACCGGGCCGAGGTCCCACTAGCAAAAAGGATAGGATCGAGCTCGTGAATCTGGATGTGTTTTAAGCAGAGATGCAGAAAAGCAGTCCAATCTCGATTTCCTGCACATCTCCATAAACTCGTCCAGCTGCATGATGCGAATGGCTCTTTCGATTGTTTGTGGCTAATGGATGTTTATGCGAGTAATCTCAACGATCCTCTTTGCTAGTGGGACCACGCCCCCGGTGTCGATTCTACGTACATCTAAAGAGAGAGAGATAAATGTCTAGAAATTTATAATTAGGGGGGGAGAGGGAGGAGGGGGTGGGTGGGTGGGGAATCACCTGTCGATTCCTTTGCTTCTCCAGCAGCTCGTTTTCGGAACAAAAAGTTATTAAAAAATCCCGGCCTGTTGTTAGGACTCCGAGGATTTGTAACCAACCCCCCACCCCCCACCCCTACCGTCGTCCCCACGGGAGGTAATTAGATAGCTATCTGGGAGCAACTTTTCAGTCTAAATGCAGCGATAATGAACGTGGACCCGCATTGTTCTCCTGCGCATGATTCCGACGACTTTGTTGACCAGATGCTTGCGTTCGTAGCATCGACACAGCATCAGCGAGGCCTGGCCTCTGCCTTCTGTTCATCGGTACATACCGAGAGATTGCGCGACAAGGGGAGACTCAGAGGGGGATATGATAACGTAATTGCAAGCAGAACGGCTTTTCAGTCGAAAATCACATACACACACCAACACGGAATCAAAACGGACTTCTCAGTTCTACTTTTCTTTGCACTTGGACTTCGGGAGCATGTAAATTCCGGAGAGAGAGAGAGAGAGAGAGAGAGATGTGAGCCGCAGTGAGCGCGAGGGTGCGCAAGACCCGTGCGGCTGATATAGTGAGTACCCGGTACAGTCCGAGGGGGTATATTAGTAGTGTACTCCATGTGACGATCCTCTGCAGGGGTTTGGAGTTGCAGCTCAGTTGCTGGGTGAGTCAGCTGGCATGCTCTTGGTCGGCCGTCTACTGTCAGCTTCAGCAAAGCGGCTGGGGAAAGGTGGTCGTTGAGCACACTGCACAGTCTCACCACACAGAGCGAGAGAGGTTGCAGGACTCCAAGTCTCGAAAGTTTCAAAGGCATCTTCGTCTGGAAGAGAAGGAAGGGAGGGAGAGGCACACACGAGCAGGGCTCAAGATTAATTAAAATTAAAACAAGTGTTGTGTGTGGAACGAACCGGGATAGACTACCGTAGCGGAGGAGTACCCTCAGGCTGTGGGGAAGAAGAGGCGAACGTGCCATCCAACAGAGACACCTACGCATACAATAATAAACACACACACACACACACACACACACACACACAGAGAGAGAGAGAGAGAGAGAGAGAGAGAGAGAGAGAGAGAGAGAGAGAGAGAGAGAGAGAGAGAGATGTCCGTGTCGTTCGCATTGTCGCGGCGGGGGGTTGCTCGTCCTGGGGCAATCATGAATGCTGTCTTCTTTGTGATAGTCCTTATGTTCTTGGGCGGGTTGCCGAAGGCGAGTGGCATGTCGAATCATACAGGATCAGAGCTGGTGAATGCCATAGCTAAACGTCCAGAGCTGTCGAAGTTTTTGCTCTCTCTCCAGAGCGCTCGCATCCTCGCACGCCTTCAAGGCGATGCTGCCAAAGGTGTTACGGTTCTCGCTCCAACGGACGAGGCCTTTCACGAGCTGGGTAGCGACCTTATGACGTGAGTGCTTTCTCAACATTATCAACCCCCATTTCTCGATTTCTGGGTGTCGTCCTTGCGCAGGGGCCATTTGCTAATTACCCTTCTCTGTATCGTTCCAATTTTGACGGATGTCCCTCAGCATTATCAACCCCCTTTTGTTGTCGTTGTTGTCGTCGTCGTCGTCGTTGTTGTTGTTGTTGTTGTTGTTGTTGTTGTTGTTGTTGTTGTTCTTCTTCTTCTTCTTCTTCTTCTTCTTCTTCTCAGACTGGTCGGAAAGTTGGTGGTCCCGCAAGCAAGGCGTAGTCTGGGTAGAAGCCCCCGGAGGAGTGAGTGCCAGGAGCGCAGCAGCCTGATTGGCCGAAACGCGTCGGGGAAATTGCGCGTTGCATACTGGGAACGGTACATGCGGAGAAGTAATGCATATCTATCGATGCTTGTACGAGAAGCAGTCTATGGCCACTGTTTTCACTATTCTTCTTTTTCCTTTTTTCTTTTTGTCTATCCACTCTACCACCTCTCTTTTTGCCTCTCTAAGCTCTCTTTATACCTCTCTTGGTTCCTCTCTTTGTACCTCTCTTTGTACCTCTCTTTGTACCCCTCTTTTTACCTTTCTTTGTACCCCTTTTTGTACCTTTCTTTGTACCCCTCTTTAAAAAGCTACCTCTCTTTCGCGGGTTGCCTTGTTTCTGTCACATGCTTTCAGAGTCATGCTCTCGATGCTTTTCAATTTTTTTGTCCCCTCTTTCTTGTTCTTATTCTTTCCCTTTTCTTTTCCTCCCCCTTTTCCCTCTTTGCCGAGTTAAGCAATGCCCATCTTGTTCTTATCGATTCCTTTCTTTCACCCCCTCTTCCCGCTTTTTTTTTTTTTTTTTGCCCTCTAAAGTAATGTAGATCACAGACATTCAGCAGGCAAATAGAACGTCCGGCGCTTGAGGCTAATGAAAAGTGCGGAGAACCTGGTCACATCCGTTCACAATGCCGCCCATGGATAGTGTTCTTACCTTAGTTACCTAGCCTCTTGCCCGCGGGGGATTGCTTTTCACGGTTTTCAGACACGATCAATTTACCAAGAAATCAGAAAAATCCAAGGGCGTATAGAAAAACCTTTCTTTTTTTTTTTTCCTTTTTTTTTTCTTTTTCTTTTTCTTTTCTCTCGTCTTGTTTAAAGTTTTTAGCATCACCTCAATGCCGCAGTGTGAAGTCACTGAAATGCAAGTGTTTTGTCTAATCTCTAGTGAAAACTACCGTCTTCACCCGAATAGAACGCCCGGTGATTATACCTGTATTTGGTGCAACGTTCAGTCTAGATACAGTGATAACGACCGTGCGTTCTACTCGGGTGAAGACGATAGGGATGATAGGGAAGGCCCATCAAACTTGGAGATAGCTGGTTTTCCAGCAGCGAAATTTACTGAGGCAGGGGATCCCGGCCCCGTACCTATGCAGAAGGTTTTATAAGGAACGCTGGGCCCGTTTCCCAGCTGTGTCGCTCCCCACAAATAGATCGGAGCCGTGTTCTAATTAAAAAAATAATAATAATAATAAAAAATTACTGAGGTAGGTAGAACGTGTGATCATCGCTGCAAGAGGTCGAGCACTCGATGGGCCAGGGCAGCCCAAAGCTTGACCGACACCGTTTTCACTTCCTCACGCTACGGTCTTCACGCGAATAGAAATAGAACGCCCGGTCATTATAGCCGTATTGGCGTAGTTTTCAGTCCAGATACATCTATAATGACTGGGCGTTCTATTCGGGTGCAGACTGTAGGAGCAGCTGCAATAATTTACCTCCATGCGAGCCCAGAGTGTCGCAAGTCAAACTCGGAGACAGCTGTTTTTTCCAGCGAAATCTACTGAGGTAACCGAGGTAGAACGTGTGATATTCATTTCAAAAGTTAAGAGCACTCGATGGGCTGGGCTACCTTCTTCCCCCGAATACAACGTACGGTCATTATACCTGTATTTGAGGCATCTTTCAGTCTAGGATCAGCTATAATGACCGTACGTTGTATTCGCGTTGTATTCGGGGGAAGAAGGTAGGGCGGCCCAAAGGATGACCCACCCCGTTTTCACTTACGCACGCTGGGAGTAGCTGCATTAACATTAGTTTACCTCAATCATCTCAATGCCAGCAGCCCAGAGTACGGCCAATCAAAAGCGGAGATAGCCTGGGTTTCCGCGAAATAATCTACTGAGGTGTCCGTGTTCGCCTACCGTCTTCCGCCGAACATAACGCACCCTGAAAATGAACGTATACAAGGTATGTTTCCGGCCCGATACAGGCAAAATGGGGGTGCGTTGTGTTCGGGGGAAGACGGTAGCCTGAGAGCCGCATACTAAAAGCACACCTACACATGCAGATCTCAGCACAACTGTTCTGTTGTCAGAAACCGCACTGCAAAATGTGAAAACAGTAAAGGCAGAACTACAGCCGCAATGGAGGAATAGATATAGATACTGTGGAAACCTGATCTTCAGTTCCAGCATATAAACTCATCAGATGTACAGGGACGCTGGACCCGTTTTCCAGCAGGTGCTGCTCCCCACCAATAGATGGAGCGTTCGGTTAAAAAAAAAAAAAAAAAAAAAAAAAAGAGAACAACAGAACGTGCGATCGTCATTACAAGAGATAGAGGACTGCTGGGCTACCTGTAGGGCGGCCCAGATCTTGACGGGCCCCGTTTTCACTTACACTGAGAGCAGGCCAAGTGATGTCTGGGCATGTAACATGTATTTGGATTGACGCCTACCTCCTCCGGAGACCAATCACATCGGAATTTTGGATCGGCAACCTCAAAGCATGCAGGAAACTCGTGTGTAATTCGTGTGTATTTCGTCTGTAATTCGTGTTTGTAATTCTTGTGTAATTCGTGAGGGAGTGTAAGAGTAATTCTTGTGTAATTCGTGTGTAATTCACGGCGCACTTAACAGCCATTTGCTCTGACCACTGAGCTACTAGAGATCTTTCTTGGGTTAATAGCAAAAATATTTCTCCTTCCAAGTTTGGCAGCAAAAATGTCGTCCGTTCGCAGTTTCCTTTGCAAAAATAGAGTTTTCGCTGCAGCTTTATCGCGTTCCCATAGTTTGCCAGCAAAAATAAAAATACCGCGTTTTGCCCAGTTTCACAGCGAAGGACCCCTGGGCCTCTGGCCTCAGGGACTCAGGGACTCAGCGTTCTGGCCTGAGGCACTCAGCGTTGGTTTTTTTTTTTTTCCTTCCGGGCATGGCCGACGCATCTGGGCGTGCCCACGGTGGAGATGCCTCGGCCACGGCCGCGAAAAAAAAAAAAAAAGAAACGTGGCCGAGGCATCTCGGCGTGGCCACGGAGATGCCTCGGCCAGCCCGCGGGAAAAAAATAAAATCCTGAGGCCAGAACGCTGAGTCCTGGAGTCCCTGAGGCCAGGGGCCTAGGGGTCCTTCGCTGTGAAACTTGGCAAAACGCTGTATTTTTATTTTTGCTGGCAAACTACGGGAAGCCGATAAAGCTGCAACGAAACCTCTATTTTTGCGAAGGAAACTTCGAACGGACGACATTTTTGCTGCCAAACTTCGAAACAGCAATATTTTTGAAATTAACCCATCTTTCTATATTGTCGTATTTTTTTGATAGTCTTTTGAAAATCTATCATATTTTGTTGTGTGTAATTTGTGAGGGAGTGTAAGAGTTATTCGTGTGTAATTCGTGTGTATTTCGTCTGTAATTCGTCTGTAATTCGTCTGTAATTCGGGAGGGAGGGGAGTGTAAGAGAATGCTGTGAGTCTCATTTTTCGTATAGGGATCCGCTCTTCCTCACTGTCAACACGAACACGAGCACGAGCATCGGAGCACGAGCACGAGCACGAGCACGATCTGACTACAGGGTCATTTCGACTGTTCTTTAGCTCAGTCTCGCTGCAACGCGGCCGGTGGATCTGCCCATGTTCCCGTGACAAGTTCATTGTCATCTGGGCAGGTGGACGGAACCGAAAACAAAGCAGGAGGTATTACTAGCATCTTGGGAGAAGCCCCGGAGGAGTGCCAAGAGCACAGTCTCGCTGCAACGCCGGCGGAAATTTCAAATTTGCGCGTTTCAACTGACATTTACCTGTGCCTTCGGAGTCTTCGGAGAGGCAATGTTTTATTATCTGTATCTGTGGATGCGTGTGCGCGAAAAAGAAAAGGTCTGGGAGTAAGGTTCTGCTGACTTCGCATGTTCCTCAACATGTGCGAGAAGCAGCCTATGGTCCTCGCTCCACTGCTCTCCAAATGTGCAAAACGAGAATGAATCTTCCGCTAGAACATTAAAAGATACCCCCCCATATTTTTTGTCTTCTCTGCATGTGGAGAGTAGTGGAGCGGGGCCCGACGACCACTGTTCGTTCACTATTCTCTCTCTCTCTCTCTCTCTCTCTCTCTCTTTTGGCAGAGAACTGTCCCCTCTCCCTCTTTTTTTCATTTTTCCTTTCTTTTTGTCCGATTACCTACCAGGGTTGATTAGTGCAATCGAGTTGATTGGCTATCAAGTTGATTGGCAATCAAAGAACCAACGGACCAACGGTGTGAATTGGTCCGGTGGTTCTTTGATTGCTAATCAAATTGTGTGAGGATTGAGTGAAGAGACGACTGACAAAGAGATGAGGAGGGGGAAAGAGACTAACGTCTTCCCCCGAGCACAGCGCACCTGTATCGGGCCGGAGACATACCTTGTATACGTTCATTTTCAATGTGCGTTATCTTCGCGGGAAGAAGACGGTAGGAACGAATAATTAAATAAAAGACGACATTCAGAGAGAGATCTAAACGATGAGAAATTCCGAAACCTAGGGCGTGGTCCCACTAGCAAAGAGGATCGGATCGAATGCCTGAATCTGGACGAGTGTATGTAGATGTGCAGGAAATCGAGATTGAACTGCTTAAACACATCCAGATTCACGAGCTCGATCCTATCCTTTTCGCTAGTGGGACCTCGGCCCTAGAGTGCAAAAAAGTGGGCTCTGAAATTGTCAACATGACAGGAAGAAAAAAGAAAAAAAAAGGA